CTCCTCCTCGTCCCCTCCCCGTCCTCCTTTCTCCTCCTCCTCCTTCCCTCCCTCCTTCGCTCCCTCCCTCTTTCCCTCCCTCCCTCCCTCCTCCCTCCTCCCTCCTCCCTACTCCCTCCTCTCTCTTCCCTCCTCAACCCCGGCGCCCGGGAAGGGGGGTCCTGGCAGGGGGGGCCCAGCGCCGACCCAGGAGATCCGCGCGGACGCCCGATAAAGCTTCTGTTCACGGCAGGTTCGTGTCGTGTCGACGCGGCGGCGACCCCAGCGCGGGCGCTCCAGGCTAAGCGCCGCCAGCGGCCCAGAACCGGCCAACATGGAACGATCTGGCGGTCGATCAGCCGCCGATCTGTCGCAGATGACCTGAGCAAAGGCGCGCGTCCGCGCGCTCGCGCACGTGTGCTCGCCAGACGCGCACGCGCGCGGGCCTGCCCACAGCGTCGCCGCCCCTGCCTGCAGGTGGCAAGTAGCGACCACAGTGGCTCTGGCTCCTGCTCCTCCGCCGTGCAGCCGTTACGCTGAACTAAGGACCCCTTCTGGCTCGTTCCTTGGATCTGGGTCGTTCCTTAGATCGTTCCTTAGATCGTTCCTCAGATCGTTCTTTAGATCGTTCCTCAGAGGAGCTCTGGTTTGGGGATCGCTCTTTGGGATCTGGGTCGGGGAACCTCTTCGTGGCGAAGGCTCTCAGGGGTCAGAAAAGCTCCTTTTACGTGGCAGCGCTATGACCGCGCGCAGCCGCTCCCCGGGCCTTCGGAGGCGCTCTGCGCGGAGCCCCTGGACTCGGGGGACTGCGGCCAGGGCGTGGCCAACATCCCGCAGACGAGGCCCCGTGGGCGGAGGGCACGCGCGTCGGCGGCGCGCCCAGGGAGGCTCGAGGGTCGAGGCTCGAGGTCTTCGTGCAGCTTCGCTCGCCCCCTGTCGGTCTTCCGGCCTCGGGGAGTGTGCGCTCTCGAGCGGCTGCGCCTCGGCGAGCGCGCTCGTGGGGTGCCCGGATCGTCCCGCACGGCCGCCGGAGGCCCGAGCTGGGATTCGAAAACGAGGAGGAGGAGGAGGAGGGGGAGGAGGAGGAGGAGGAGGAGGAGGAGGGGGAGGAGGGGGAGGAGGAGGAGGAGGCGTAGGCGGGAGGCGGCGGCGGAGGAGGAGGAGGAGGAGGAGGAGGCGGGAGGCGGAGGCGGAGGTGGAGGTGGAGGCGGAGGTGGCGGCGGAGGAGGAGGAGGAGAAGGTGGAAGAAGACGAATCAAATGAATAATAATAAACATACTAATGCTGGCAATCATAAACGTACTATTAAGACTAAGAGTAATACTACAAAGGCCAATCGCACTAATCACATTAAGAAGGCTAAGCACACTATCCATACGAACAATAATAACACTATTGGGAACCATACTGCGATCACTAAGACTAATGGTAAGACTTATCGTCATAATAATAATAACAATCACACTGCGCATAATACTAGCACTGGGAATCCTATTACGAATACTCATACTAAGACTAATAAGATGAAATATGTTACTAATACTACGAATGAAATGAGGACTATCAATACGACTAAGACGAAACACGCTATTACTAATACGAAGACGAATCATACCAGTAATAAACTACGACGCGGAGGTGGAGGTGGAGGTGGAGGAGGAGGAGGAGGAGGAGGAGGAGGAGGAGGAGGAGGAGGGGGGGAGGAGGAGGAGGAGGGGAGGAGGAGGAGGAGAGAGGAGGAGGAGGAGGAGGAGGAGGAGGAGGAGAGGAGGAGAGGAGAGGAAGAGGAGGAGAGGAGGAGGAGGAGGAGGAGGAGGAGGAGGCCAGCAGAGAGGGCGGGTCGTCTCAGAGGGCCCATGAGGCCTCGGGGCCTCCCGAGAGGAGCCTTCGAGGCCTCCGCCTCCGCCGAGGCCACGTGCGGCCCCTCGGCAGGCCGGGGAAGGGCCTCCGAGGAGCCCCGCCGCCGCCTGGGAAGGCCTGCGTCTACGATGCGGCGCGATCCCCCCACCACACCTACTCCGACCCCATCTGGGAGGCCATGAGCGGGGGGACCGTGGTCGGGGACTTTTGCTTGGCGTATCGCGCTGCCGCTCCTGGCCCACTGCGCTTCGGCGCGACGCGCGGACTGCTTCCCCTCTTCCGAGCGTCAGGGTCCCAGGCCTTTCCCGGCCTTCTGCTCCGTGGAGCGCCGCCGCCGCCTCGGAAGGCCTCCTTCGGGTGTTGCTAGAAATCGGTAGCAAATCGTGGGAGCCTGGTATACCCTCTGAATTCCGTCTTTGGCGTCGATTTGTGTCAATCAGCGCTTGGGAGTCGATGAGATAGCGCCGACTTAGCGTCGGTCAGCGTCGATTCGTGTCGATTTAGCGTTGGTTAGCCTCGATTTAGCGTCGACTAGCGTCGATTCGCAAGAGCCGACAAGATGGTATGGGAGGCTGCCGTGAGTTGCCACCGAGCAAGGCCTCCCCAAGATTCTTGGGGTGGCCCAGGCGGCCTCCAGAGCACCCCTCACGAGACCCAGAGGGCCCCAGGGGCTCCAGCATGGAGGGAAAAGAGATGGGGCCACCCTGGGCCAGGGGCGCTTCGAGCAGCATCCGACTCTTGGCATCGCTCGGACGTGTGCCTCTTTTTTGTCGGCAAGGACCGTCGAGGAGCATTCTTGTTCACCCTGCGAAGCGAATGCGCGCACGACGCCGAAAGCATGCCCGGGGAAGGGGCGTCCGAGCAATGGCGAGCTCTGGGCGGGCCGCCGAGGGCGGGCGGGGCACGGGGCGGGCGGCCCTGCGCGGACAAGGCACGTCCTCGGCGGCGGAGTGCCCGAGCCCTGCCCGCGCCGCTCCACGGCTGCGGGCAGCTCGATGGGCGGCGGGGGGCGGGGGCTCGGACTTCGTCGAGCGCTTGAGCGCGCTACGGTCAGCCCGGTCAGCCCGCATGGTAAGCATGCGCAACCTTCCCAAAACTACCCTTGCATCTTTGCCTCGTCGGCCCATCCTGGGCCGCTCTCGCTGGCCGCGCCCCGCTCGGAAGGCTCCGAAATGGCCTTCCAAGGCCCTTGCATCCTTATCGCGCATCCTGATGATGCGGGTTGGTTGTAGTCCCCTTCCTTCCTCCCTCGGCCGCTCTTCTCCCCCTCCTCCTCCTGTGTCCAGGCAGTTCGCAATGCCGTCGCCCGGCCTGCGGAGCGCGTGGGCGGACTGCCTCTGCCGCCCGCGACGGAAAAAAGGGAGCGACGGATGGCAACGGGGTCGTTTTCGCCGACGTTGGCGCGCGAGCTGCCCGCGTAGGGTCGTGCTCAAGCGCCCTCGCTTCCGACGTGGCGTGTCGGGCTGGCGGCCAGCTCTCAGGGAAGGCCGCGTGGAAGCCCCCGAGCTCCTCCAAGAAGGCCCGCTTTGCCTTCTCACAATGCCGTCCCCCATCGCATCTCGCCCCGCCCCCAGGCCCAAATCTACCCCAGGCCCAAACCAGGTATACCGGACCGCAATTATCCTGGATATGTTGGGCGTCCAAGGTATGGTGGTGGTGTTTGTGTGTGCTATGTCTCTCTCTGTGTATATATTTCTCTCTCTGTCTGTCTGTCTACCGATATATCTAGATGCCGACACATAGATGTATATATATATATGTAAATGTCTTCCTGTCTGTCTATAAGCATGTATATATACATATGCCTGCCTGTCTTTCTGTCCATCCACATATGTATGTATATACCCCTGTCTATGTAGGTATACGTTTCTATGTTTATAGCCACCCACCTACCTACCTATATATCAATATATATATATATATACATCTATATGTATACATATCCATATATTTGTATTCACCCATATACATACAATATATATAGATATCTACCTATCTACCTACATACTTGTGCTTCAACACGTGTATCGGTGGATCTCTCGTTCTATATATATATAGATATATCCATATAACGATAGATCGATATTTATTTCTCTATATGTACAGTTACTTCTCTACACGTATATTTATTTCTCTAGAATATAATCAGATCTGTTCTTAATATATTATGATCAACCAATCAATTTATATATACGGATATATCGTTGCATAACTGTTTTGAGTCTTATCTACGTATCTCTATTTACCTATTTACCAACATATGTATCAAGCAGTCCACTGATGTATATAATCTATACATGTATACATATCTATCTCTCTATTCACCTACCTACGTATCTATGTATATGTATATATATATATAGAGCTACCTAATTATCCTCCTATATCTATTCATGTAGCTGTGTATAGAGCTATTTCGATACGTATATATATACATTCATATCTTTTGTTAAGTATATTTTCATTGATGTTTATATTTCGATTTCTATCTATATTTCTATGTGTAGTTCTATTTATATTTCTATTTCTATTTTTTAATTATATTTATATTTCTATTGCTATTTCTATTTATACTTATATTTATGTTTACATTTATATTTATACTTATATTTCTACTTCTATTTCTACTTCTATTTCTATTACTATTTCTATTTCTTTTAATGTATATATATGTATGTTTCTATGTGTTCCATCTATATTTCTATCATCATTTCTATTTCTTTTTTTATTTCTATTTCTATGTACACTCAATCTTCTATTTCTATTCCTATTTCCATTTCTATTTCTGTTTCTATTTCTTTTTCAATATCTATTTCGATGTCTCTTTCTATTTCACTTTATATTTCTATTTCTATGGCTATTTCTTTTTATAATTCGATTTCTATTTATATTTATAGTTCTATTGCTGTTGTTATTTCTATGTATGTTCATTTTTTATTTCCATTTCTATGCCTATGTCTTTTTACATTATTTATATTTCTAGTTCTAGTTCTAGTTCTATTGCTATTGCTATTGCTATTACTATTGCTGTTTCTATTTCTATTTCTATCTATCTATGTACCTGCAAGGGGTACCTTTTTACATAGAAAACCGACCTGACACAACTCCAGGTCCGTCTGGGGAGCCTGAGGCCAAGACGGCCCCAGATGGCCCCAAGACGGCCCTGGAGAGCCCCAGGAAGCCTCCGGAGGACCCGACGAGCGCCTCCAGATGGCCACGATGGGCCCAGGATGGCTCAAGATGGACCCAAGATGGCCGCTCGACGGCCCAACGGGCTCCCCAGATGGCCCAAGGGGGCTTCAAGACAACTCCTAAGAGGCCCCCAGGAGGCCCAAATGATGAGGTTTTGCGTGGGTTTCGGTGCAATTTTCGTATGCTCGGCTTCTCAGTCTCCAGAGCGCCCGAGACAGTTGAAGAGGCCCCCGAGATCGCTCCAAGATGGCCTCACAGGCGCCCAAGAGGGCCCCAAGACGAGCCCAGGACGGCCCAAGAGGGGCCCAAGACGCCCTCAAGACGCTCCAAGGTGGCCCCCCGAGGAGCTCCAGACGGCCCAAGAGGGCTCCAAGACAGCACAACTGGCCCCCCGGACCGCCCCAGAGCAGCCCCAAGAAACCTCCAAGATTGCCCTGAGGGACCAAGACGGCCCCAGAGGGCCCCAATACGGCCCAGGAGGCCCCCAAGATGGCTCGAAAGCAGCCTTAAGAGACCCTGAAGAGGGCCCACTTGGGACCCTGAATTAGTACAGCGACGGTAAGACAATCATGCAATCTATAATATACAAATACACATATATATACACACATAGATACATGTATATGTGTATGTGTAAAACATATTTTCACATGTGTGTGTGTGCATATATTTTTGTACATGTACGTATGTACACAAATGTCTTGGGGGAGACGCATGAAGACGCTGCCATTGAGGCCTCCGATGGATCCCCCTTTGGGGGTACGAAACGGAGTACTGGGTGGGAGAAACGCATGTGAACGGGTCCATTGGGGCCGTCGGTGGAGCTCCCCACGGGGCCACGAAACGCTGTGCTGGGTGGGTGGCATGTGGACACCGCCACTGGGGCCTTAGGTGGAGCTCCCTATGGGGGAACGAAACGCCGTGCCGGGTGGGGGGACGCATGTAGACACCGCCTGTGGCGCCTTCGGTGGAACACGAAACGATGTGCTGGGTGGGGGAGGCGCATGTGGACACTGCCAGTGGGGCCTTAGGTGGAGCTCCCCATGGGGCCACGCAACGCTGCGCCGGGTGGGGGGGGACGTTCGTGGACACCGCCACTGGGGCCTTAGGTGGAGCCCTCTGTGGGGCCAAGAAGCGCTGTACTGGGTGGGGGAACCGCACGCGGACATAGAGGTACCTGTGGAATGACCAAGCTCCGCACCCCTCCTGGGGTCACTCAGGGCAGTGCTCCACAGGGGGCCCAGGCCCCTTGGAGTACTAGAGGCCGACAGCAAGACGACAGCCCCTCTACGACGCACAATTGCATGAGCCTTGTGACGCTCCACTGCGTGCTGAAGGCGCAGTGGCGGATATAGGTAGTACTTGCTGGAAGGACCAGAACCCGCCCAGAATCGGTTCCTGGACCCCTCCCTGAGGGCGACCCTGGCCAATGCTCCAACCCGAATCGATTCCCGACGGCCCCGCGGCTCCACACGGGCCTCCAGAGCCCGACAATCGCTAAGATGATCGCGCTTCGCGCGCCTCGGTCTGGGCCAGAGCGGCCGCCGTTCTCCAAGGGGGGTCGGCGCGAAGACGCGAGGGCAAAAAGGTACTCGCGCGCCGCTCCATCGCTTGGAGGGCGATGCGCGAAGGTAACCAGGTGACCTCGAACATCGATCTTCCTCCTCAATCCGCGTCGTTCCTGGATCCTCGACTCTCGATCCTCGATTTTCCTCCTCGGTCCTCCTCGGTCCTCCTCCTCCTCCTCCTCCTCCTCCTGCTCCGCCGTCCTCGATCCTTGATCCTCCTCCTCGATCCTCCTCCCCCTCCCCCTCCTCGATCCTCCTCGTTCCTCGATCCTCCTCGCGTCGACCCTTCTCCCCCCTCTGTCCTCGAACCTCGAGCCTCGGGCCATCCTCTCGCGCGCCGCCGCCGGCGAGGCCGGAGCCGCCCCCGCCGCCGCCGGCCTCTGCCCGCCCCCTCGCGTGGACCGTCGACGACCGGCGGTGCGGCGGTCGCCCCGTGGGCCTGCGCCACCTCGAGGAGGGGCTGCGGCGGCACAAGGGCGGCTGAGCGCCGCGGCTCGCCCGTGAGCTCCCGCATGCGCTCCTCCTCTCCCCTCCCTCTACCCCCCCCCCGCCCCCCCCTGCGCTCCTCCTCCTCCCCTCCTCTCCCCTCCTCTTCCTCCTCCTCCTCCTCCTTCTCCTCCTCCTCCTTCCTCCTCCTCCTCCTCCTCCTCTCCTCCTCCTCCTCCTCCTCCTCCTCCTCCTCCTCCTCCTGCCCCTCGCTCTCTCCCTCTCCTCGCCTCCTCCCCCTGCGCTCCTCCTCCTCTCCTCCCCCCTGCGCTCCTCCTCCCCTCCTCCCCCCCCCGCCCCCTCCCCTCCCTCCCCCCTCCTCCCCCCCCCGCCCCTCTCCCACTTCCCCGTCTCCTTCCACCCCACCCTCCGTCCTCCATCCCCTGTGCCTCCCTCCTTGCTACTCTCTCTTCCCCCCCCCCTCTCCATCCCCCCTTCCTACCCCCCGCTGACCTCTCTCTTCTGAATCCCCCCCCCCTCCTCCCTTTGGGGGGCCTCTTGGGCGCCTCTTGAGGCTCTCTGGGGGCGCTCTTGGGCTTATTTCTCGACGCTGAATACTCTGCCCCTGTCAAGGAAATTACACGGGTGCCTCCAACGTCTGTCCCTCTTTTCGAGATTCCGTTGGGAGAACCCATCAGCGCTACCGTGTTCGAAACCTGCATTTGCCGAGGCAATTCTACGGGTGCCGTTGTGCAGCCAAGGTTGTGCAATACATTGGGGTATCAATCTATGCGGTGCATTCCACAAGGTGCGAGCTATGTGGTGCAAGCTATGTTGTGCAAACTATGTAGTGCAACTCTCCCTGCCGAACCTGTAATTGTCAACTCCACTGCCCGCGCAATCATCCCAGTCGTCCACCCGTAAATTGGTTTGCGAAACCCATGCGGCGGCGATTGTGATGACGGCTTGGTGGCGCTGCCTGGCGCGTCGCTGCGGCCGCGCTAGCGCGCGCTCAGAGCGGCCAGCTAGTCTGGCGCGACCGACGCGGCCGCGGTGGCGCTGACCGTTCGGCACTTCCCAGCGCGTCTCGCAGGCCGCGCTCACGCGCGGGTTTCTCCGTGCGGTTCGGTGGTTCGAGCGGGCGCAGTACCATGGCGACGTCAACAACGGCAGACACAATGATGGTAGTAGCGACGCTGGTGACGATCACGCCGATGACGATGATGATGTCCACGTGTCGTTTGTGAAGTTTTTGGGCGGATTTCGAAGTGCGAGCGCGGCCAATGCGCGCGAACGGCCCGTATGGTGTTATTTATTTTAGCTGGGATCGTGCCCCCCCAGCACGCGCGCAAAGGGCGTTCGAGCAATGTCGACATGCGCGCGCGAGAAGCCCGTTCGGTCACATGTGATGGTCATTTCGATTTTTTGGTGAAGCAATCACAGGAACGCGCAAACTGTTTGAAACATCGTGTTGCAATATCATTTTTTCCCCCACTCGGCTTGCCTAGAGGGGCTTTACTTGGTTAAAGGTTGGTGCTTCGGGGGGCTACTTTGCCCGTTGCTCGGAGGTTCTTCGGGTTCCTCGGGTTCCCCGGGTTCTTCGGGTTCTTCGGGTTCTCGGGTTCCTCGGCAATGCCAACACATGCTAAGCAATGTCAAGCACTGCCAAGCAATGCAAAGCAATGCCAAGCAATGCCAAGCAATGGCGAGCAATGCCAAACAATGCCGAGCAATGCCAAGCAATGCCAAGAAATGCCAATCCATGCCCAGCAATGCGAAGCAATGCCAGCCACTGCGCCCATGCAGTAGGAAACATCCCCTCATTGGGGTCGCGCCGGGCTCATTTATACTGTCTCGGGACTCGCGATTTTCGCATCCTTGCCAAACCCACGATTTTCGAAGGATTCCGACATGCGCGCGCGACGACGCGCGCGTGTCCATTTCATTGTTTTTGGCAAGTTCTTCTAGCACATGGATGTTTTTTGTTGCACGAATGTGCTCGAACCCAGCCTGGCTGGGATGGCATGTGTTCATATTTTAAATGAACGATGGGGCAGAATCGTACGTAAATTGCACATCCCCACGGGGCACTGATAGATTTAGCCCCGGCACGGTTCAATTTTCATTTGGAACGGAGGTTCTATGTAGTGCAAGATATGTGGTGTGACATTTGGGGTGCAATCTATGTAGGGTGATAGGTGGTAATAGGTATGCGGTGCAGCCCAGTATTTGTGGTGTGGACTGTGATATGCGAGCTATGCGGTTTAATCTGCGTGGTGTAATATATGATGTGGGAGCTAGGTGGTGCACTATATACGGTGCAATCAATGTTCTGCAATGTATGTGGTGGAGGGTAGGTGGTGCAATCAATGTGTTGCACTTTAGGTGGTGCAATCAACATGGTGCAACATCTGTGGTGCAATGTATGTCGTGCAATCTATGTTGCGCAACCTACTCGGTGTAAGGTGTGATGCAGAATCGGTGGTGCAATCTATATATATATATATGTATATATATATACATATAGATACACAGCAATGCAACACAATGCGAAGCAGTGCAGAGCAATGCAAGAGAATACTGCAATCCAGCGCAACACGATGGCCGCGGCGACGGGCGGCGACGAGGCGGCGACATGGCGGCCAGAGCGGCCCGCAGGCCCAAACGGCGTGCGGCGACGGGCGGCGACGGGAGGCGACGGGCGGCGACGGGCGGGGACGAGGCGGCGACGGCGGCGACACGGCGGCCAGAGCGGCCTGCAGGCCCAGGCGACGGGCGGCGACGAGGCGGCGACGAGGCGGCGACGAGGCGGCGACGAGGCGGCGACGGCGGCGACATGGCGACCAGAGCGGCCTGCAGGCCCAGGCGGCGGGCGGCGACGCGACGGCGATGAGTCGTCTACGTAATCGGCAGACCGCGCAGTTTCTTAGAGCACCCGTAAGACCCCCGAAATGCCAGTACTGCTTGGGGAGTTGTATTCGCAGTATTAATATTCCAATCTGTATGACTAACACGACTATGCGTTATACTGATCATGCGAATGTAGGGGGAGGAGAATGACGACGATACGTGAAACAAAAGTGTGGCGCCCGTGATGGGAGTGGAAGGGTCCAGAGACCGAATAACTTGAGCGAGGAGAAAGTGGAGGAGTATTAATGATTTGTGACGAGCGTAAAGGACTGATCAGGGGAGGAGCCAGGAAGGTGCGGCGCCGGCGTACGTGTCGTTGCTATGGTCCTTCAATTTGATTGCTACTTCATTGTCCCCCTTGAGCCCGTGAGTCCGTTTTCATGCCGATGTGGGGAAATCTGGCACGAGAACTCTAAAACAGACGGGAAGGGCGGGCGCAGCCCCAGAGGGGAGGTAACGGGCGAGGGAGAAATATGTTTTCCCTCCTCCCTCCTGCTTTCACTCCTTCCTCCTTGCCCCCTTTCCCCTCCCCATTCCCGTGTGGGTTCCCCAGAGCTGGCTGCAGCGGCGAGGGATTGTCCTAGGCAGCGCTCGCATCGTGTGGTGCGCGCGAGGGCGCCGTGCGTGCAAAAGCGGGTGGGCGGTTCCACAGGCGGTGGATGCGTCAGTTTCTTCCACTTTTTGTCCTTCTCCTGCTCCTCGTCCCTCCTTTTTTGCCCTTTCGTCCTCCCTTGCCCTCCACGTCGTCCAGTGTATGTCTCGTCTCTCTTCCCTTGCCCCCCATCCCTCCGTTTGCAAGATGAGGAAATTTTGCTGGGCAACAAGCTGCTGCTCGGCACCCTCGAGATTGCCATTGTTTGCTGGAGGCTTCTGATTCCCGAGGTTGTTGAGCACCCTGCTGAGTCTAGGAGCCCCCAGGAGGCCCCTAGCTCGTGATATCTGGATTCCACCAAGGACCAGCCTGAAGTGGACAAGCATCTTATCCACCAGTGCGTCTTCGGAGCGCCTTCGAAGAAACCCACGTGTCTCACGGGGGTGCACTTGGGGGCTCTGGGGGAGGCGCTGCAGGCGCGGCCTCAAGGGGCCCTTTGACGCCATGCGCGAGGGCATCCTGCAATAGAAGGGGTGCACCAGACGGGAACCTGGAGCACGGCGCATGCGGAAGTCTACCCCGAAGGCCTCTGCGAGATCCTGGGGAGGACGGTCATTCGCGACCTCATGCCGGCAGCTCTTTAGGCTGGCGCGTCCCTGTCGGGCATCCCGCCTGATCTCGCGTGGGCTCTGTCCGGCGGCCGGGGGCACAGATCATCGCTTGCAGTTGGCAGGGGGCACAGATCATCGCCTGCAGTTGGCAAACTACCGGTGATCAGCCGACGTCTCCCCTGAGCTCGACTTCACCATGGATGCCGTGCCAAGTGTGCACGACGAGCGTTCGAAAGAGGACCGCCTCGTTCAGCAGCGTGGAGGTGGTCGGTTGAGGAGACTGGCGCTGCAGTACAGCCGCAGCGTCACAGCAGCCGCAGGCCGCAGCCGCAGAAGCAGCAGCTGCAGCCTGCGATGGCCCCAAAGTGGTGGGGGGCGGAAGCCACCGCAACAGCAGTAGCAGCAGCAGCGCAGCAGCAGAAGCCGAAACGCCGCAGCTGCAGCAGCCGCAGCAGCCGCAGCAGCCGCACGCCGCAGCCGCAAACGCAGCAGCCGCAGGTTGCAAAGGCCCTCAAAATGGCGGGGGGGCGGAAGCCGCCGCAACAGTAGCAGCAACGCCGCAGCAAAAGCCGCAGCGCAGCCTCACCAGAAGCCGCAGCCGCAGGAAATGCAGCTGGCTGCAGCTCACCTTGCGCGCGCTTGCGAAGGCGGGGGGTGTCGATCTTCTCCGTGCGGGATGGTCATTCGCACCTTCATGGCGGCAACCCTTACAGCCAGCGCGTCCCCGTCGGGCATCCCCCCTTGATCTCGCGTGGGCTCTGTCCAGCGGCGGGTGGGAACAAATCGTCGCCTGGAGTTGGCAAACTACAGAGGTCCACTGTCCAGGAGGCATGGGTGAAATTCCCATGGCTTTTCGATACAGCAGCCCCTCCCTCCCCACCACCGACTTTGCCGACCACGACCCAAAGAGGGTTGCGGGGTAAACAGCCTAGGCCAGAGGGGGCCCACGATGAGTGCCGAGATGCCACGACGTGATGGGAGGGTTGCACGGTCTGTGCCGACCGACAGCGGCCACGTATGGACATACAACGATGAAGCCTGGTTACGACAGCCAGGGGGGGTGGGGTGGGCGCGAGCGGTGGTGGCAGCGACGAGCCGCTTTCAGGGAGGATCGGCTGGGGAAGTGGGTGAAAGGAGGGCAGCGGCGGGATGATGATGATGATGATGATGATGATAATGCTGCTGCTGCTGATGATAATGATGATGATGATGCTGATTATGATGTTGATGCTGCTGATGATGACGATGCTGATGATGTTGCTGATGCTGATGTTGATGCTGATGCTGATGGTGTCGATGGTGATGATGATACTAATGATGATGATGATGATGATGATGATGATGATGATGATGATGATGATGATGATGATGATGATGATGATGATGATGATGATGATTATGATGCTGATGCTGACGATGCTGATGATGATGCTGATGGTGGTGATGCTGATGATGCCGATGATACTGCTGCTGATGCTGATTATGTTGAGGATGATGAGGATGATGACGAGGACGATTGTGATTCTGATGATGATGAAGAAGAACATGATGATGCTGATGCTTATGATGCTGATGATGATGCTGATGACGACGAATGCGACGACAACGACCATGGTTATGTCGGGGACGATGCTGATGAGCATTGTGACAAGGATGATAGGGATGATGCTGATACTGCTGCTGCTTCTGCTGCTGCTGCTGATGACGATGCTAGTGATGATGATGTTGATGATGATAATGCCGATGATGCTGCTGCTGATGATGATGATGATGATGATGAGGATGACGATGATGATGACGCGGATGACGACGATGCGGATGATGATGATGATGATGATGATGATGATGATGATGATGATGATGATGATGATGGTGGTAATGATGCTGATGATGATGCTGCTGCTGATGATGATGATGTTGATGCTGGTGATGATGATGGTCATGTTGAACTGGCCGATGGTGACGATGATGATACTGATGGGGATCGCTGTTGATGACGACGGTGGTCGTGATGGTGATTCAGGTTGTTCCGACGATGTCGACGAGGATGATGCTGATAATGATGATGATGAGGATGATACTGATGCTGATAGTGATGATGATACTGATGATGCTGCTGATGATCGTGATGATGATCATGCTGCTGCTGATGATGATGATTACAATGATGATGTTAGTGCTTGCGACGACGACGGCGATGATGCTGCTGCTGCTGATGATGACGATGATGCTGATGATTCTGATAATAGTGCTGATGATGATGATGCTGATGCCGATGACGCTGCTGACGATGATCGCGACTCAAGGCTATAGTGTTCGTGGTGGGGGTTATGGTAATGACGATGCTGACGAGGATGATGATGACGATGCTCACAGTGATGACGGTGGTATCGGTTTATGACAGCCATGATGGTGTTGTTCATGCTGATTCTATTTATGCTTATGGTGATGATGACGATGATGACGATGGTGCTGATTCTCATGCTAACGATGGTGATGCTGCCGATGACGGCGATGCTGCTGCTGCTGCTGCTGCTTGTGATGATATGATGATGATGAGGATGCGGATGAGAATTGTGTTGATATTGACCGTCGTTGTGATGACGGAAAATCTGACGATGACGATGACTACGACCATGATGATGCTGCTGATGATGGTGCTACTGCTGTTGCTGATTAGGTGGATAATTATGCCGACCATGACGATACTAATCGTGATTATGATGACGGTGACACGTCTGCCGATGATAGCGATGAACATTATAAGGTTGACGGTGATGAAGACTATGATGCATCTGATGATGAGGTGATGGTGATGATGACGGTAATGTTGGTAAGGTTGGTGCTCATGATGATGACGACGATGATGATGCGGATGGTGATGACGCGCATGACGATTTGGATGATGATGCTGCCAGGGTTGGCGATTCGGTTGATGCTCTTGATGGGGATGGCCCTGCTACAGATGCTGATGCCGATGATGATGAGACTAAGTATGCGGTTGATGTTTGGGTGGACGAGGACTATGCCGATGATGATGATGCTGCTGCTGCTAATGCTGATGTTTATGATGATAACGATGATGATGATGATGATGATGATGATGATGATGATGATGACGACGATGATGATGATGATGATGATGATGATGATGATGCTGCTGATGATGATGATGATGATGATGATGATGATGATGATGATGATGATAAAAGGGGATGATGATGCTGATGCTGATGCTGATGCTGATGCTGTTGCTGCTGATGATGCTGCTGATGATGCTGCTGCTGATGATGACGATGCTAATGCTGATGATGCTGACGGTGATGATGCTGATGATGATGATGGTGGTGATGGTGATGGTGTTGCTGATGATGATGATGGTGGTGTTGGTGGTGGTGTTTGTGTTGGTGGTGATGACGATGATTAATGATGATGATGGTGGTGGTGGTGGTGCTGGTGTTGGTCATGATGACGATGATGATGGATGGTGATGATGATGCTGATGCTGACGATGACGATGATGATGATGATTCTGACGATGATGATGATGATGATGATGATGATGATGATGATGATGATGATGATGATGTCGATGATGATGAAGACGATGATGATGATGATGATGATGATGATGATGATGATGATGATGATGATGAGGATGATGATGAAGACGATGAAGACGATGATGATGATGATGATGATGATGATGATGATGATGATGATGATGATGATGCTGATGCTGATGATGATGATGATGACGACGATAAGGCGGAGGAAATGAAGAGCGAGTAGTTGGAGGAGCAGGGGAAGAGGAGGAGGAGGAGGAGGAGGATGGGGAACGCAGAGAAGAAGGAAGGAGGTGCATGTAGGAGTTGGAGGAGGAGGAAGAGGGGGAATGCAGAGAAGAAGGAAGGAGGAGCATGGAGGAGTTGGGGGTGGAGGAGGAGGAGGAGGCGGAGCTGACTGAAGAGGGCAAGCTACCCCCCGTCCGCCTCTCCTTATCTTTGCCTGAGCCCAGGCAGTTGGCGAGGGATGGGTGGAGGAGTTCGCCGCGTGACTGGCTCCTGGCTTCCTCCCAGCGAGGGATGGGTGGAGGAGTTCACCGCGCTCCCCGGGATGCGTTCCCACTATCCTCAGTCGTAGCCGTCTGGGCCCGAGCGATTCATGGGCTGTGCCCGCGGGCAAGGGCCCAGACTTCCGGCGGATTCTTGTTTCGAACCCAGGCGCATTCCCTCCGTTTCGGCGTCCAGGAGCCTTTTTCGGGTTTCGGGACCGCCAGGAACCGGACCAGGACGACAAACTGTCCCCACGGGAAGGGGTCGAGTCCTTAGCGGACCGCGGATTGGATTGGACAAGTCAATGCGTCGAAAGTCTGGGGAATCAGATGGCGAGCGGTAAATCTGTGGACGACGATGGCAGCAAACCTTCG